TTTAAACATGGCTGCTCAGCAGTCCAGCATTATCTTGCAACAGTGCTCCCACATAATGCGATGTCTAGCAGACTGACCTTCTCCGATTAAAAAAAAAGGCAGATAGAAAAATTGCAACTGGTGGAATGTGTGTTGTTGTTGGCCAAATTTGATGTCATGTGAAATATTGCCACCAGTAGGCCGATGTCATAGTTTGCGAATCGAGCGATTCGCTAGCGATTCCGAGCGTTGCGCCAACGAATCAAACCTTGCACCAGCGAATCGACCGATGCACCAGCGAGTCGGACGATGTACCAGACTCAAAAGTAGCGGGACCCAAAGTTCAAATGAAACCCGCTACTTTCAAACAGTGTCACGTGACAGTGGACCCTTTTTGAAGGTGGCGTGACTTGACAGTTCGCTAGCGAATCGCTCGATTCGCAAACTATGACATCGGCCTACTGGTGGCAATATTTCACATGACATCAAATTTGGCCAACAACAACACACATCCCACCAGTTGCAATTTTTCTATCTGCCTTTTTTTTTAATCGGAGAAGGTCAGTCTGCTAGACATCGCATTATGTGGGAGCACTGTTGCAAGATAATGCTGGACTGCTGAGCAGCCATGTTTAAAGGCACAGTCCGGGATCGAACTGAAGTGCTATTGCGCTTGCAAGTGACAGTAGAGATGAGAAGTTTAACGCTACAGTGGAAAAACGGGAAGAAAGCCCTTGACCAGACCAAAAATGTGACCCTCTATCCAGCAGCGGCAAAACGAAATATTAAAGATTTGTGGGCGAGTTCAATGGTGTTGGACGGGGCCAATGCTATGTCCTAGGGCCTTGTCAAATCATTCGGAAAGTTGTGTACATGCTTTCCGCTTGTGCATCGCTGCAGTTTTCTCGGGAAAAATTTCATTTCAATCAAAAATTCCGCACACTACCTTGAAGTAGCTCGTATATCAAAACCTACCACCTTTAAATCTTTGCTCAAGAAGGAAAGATCAAGGCCAACATCAGTCGGCGATCAAGGTAAACATTGAACACGATTATATTCGCGATGACATTATTATCAATACCCGACACGGTACTACTGCAGCTTCCCCTGTTATGAATCTCATTGCCAAAATAGTGATGGCACCCTTAGCTCTACTGAACGAATAGTCAAACACGACATTGCACCTTTGCTCGATCTTTCCCAGCAAACTTTTGCATATCTATTCTCTATGCTCACGAAGCTCAACACCTAGAAGATTGGGTGAGCTTTTTTGCATGAATCGCAACTGAAGCATGCGACCAAATGAAAGAGTCCCTATTTAGTTATCGTGAACTTCAGACCCGTGTTTCAGTGAACACCTTCGAGCAAACTATGAAAATGTTAGAAAATCGCCGCTAATATTTTTGAAAATTTTCTGAAATTATGCTGTAAGTCAAAGAAATGATTTCATTGTGAAATTTGGAAGATTTGACGCATGCGAGTTTTCACGCATTCCATTTGCATAACTTTCTTCAGAACAGGAAACTAGTCTATTCATGATGATCTCTATGCTGCTCGATTCGCACCACGGACAACCCCTTCGCCGACAATTTTGTGATAGAAACCCGACTTTGTGTGAACAACATCAATCCATTCTGCCATATAGATGAGTAAAAGTGAAGAATAAATTGTCAAAGAAAAATCTGACCGGCAATCTGTCCATGTAATCTTCGATCTTGGAAAGTGTCCAGTCTCCATTAAATGGTAGCTCGATCAGGTTGTCACAAAACCCGACACACTCCACCTGAAATACCAGAGGTAAATGCAACAAAAGCGAAAAGTGGGCGGGCAATCGGTCTTGCTCAACCACTTACAGTTTTCTCGTTCTTCAGACTAACAAGTGACAGTGCGGCAGAGGCAACACGACAGGACAACATTGTACCGGAGATTAAGCTACACATACTTCCTGAAACAAGAAGAGTCGCTTAACGAGAATGAGCATCCCATAGCTACACTATGTAGTACTCATGCCTAGAATATTTAGAGCTCCCCTGCACAAACTCGGTCAGGATGTCCTGTAATCTTTAGTGTTTTTTTTTGATACACTGCGTCCCATAATTATACGTCCACCTGAGAATTTCCCAAAACTCCAGACAATCATAAGAGGTTTTCGAAAAAATCTCCTCCCTGTTCACCAATCAGTACGCCTATCAATAATGCCCAATTGCCATATGGAAACAGCGTCAACCTTTTTTATATGAGATCACACAGAGATTTTTCGACCCACATAATTGTTGTAAAATTCCACTCAGCGCTCGACGTCCCACAAAATTATACGTCCACCTCACGTTTATCGATTACTTTTCACTTCTGTTCCACGAAACTTTCATTGTGTAACACTTCACTTCTTAAGAGAACAGCACAAGTAAAGACTGCTGTTGGATTTCGAGAAAGGGAAAATGTCGCAAAAACTGTTGAACAACGGAACCGCACCAGATTTGGTCCAGATTCACGCCAAGCTTGAGAATTTTTTCAGGGGTTTCACATGATATGGAGCTTAGAAGAGCTCTAAAAGTCTCTCATTACTTTTCGATGGAAACAAAGGCCGTGTTACAGAAATAACATCCATTTTCATCCAACGGTGCTCTGTCATCGAATCTTCTTGAGAACTTTATGCCTCAACAGACTTTTTGTTTCATGCATGTAAAGGAATCCCAAGATCGTTCTTGATCGGAAAATGTGAAAGACGTTCATTTATGGCAAGGAATCGTGACGAAAACTGGGCTGATTTTTGCATGAAGGTGCAGCCGAGCCGACTGGAGCAGGGTCCCTTTTCCTTGCTATGCATGAGTGTTTGTCTGTCTTTCTTTTCAACATTTTCTTTCTTTTAGTAGTGCTTCACTAAGAAAAAAGCCATTAAGGGAAAGGTAAAACGTGAGAAGCCGTCAATAAATCAAACAAAATGCCCCAACATCCTCGCAAGAAGCGACACCTTACCCGTTCGACTCGTCAAAACGCACCCTTCATAGCAAAAATCAGCCAGTTTTCGTCGCACGATCATGCCATACAATACCCTCGTCTACATGCCGCAACTCACAATGACTTGGATTCCTTTTAAAAAGCATGAAACCAAATCCCTTGAGACAATAAAGTATCTCAGAAATTACGACGACAAGCACCGCTTGATAAATGGGATGTTTCTCGTAAAACAATAACTTGTTTGTTTGTTTCCATCGAAAAGAATATAGACTTTTAGGAGCTCTCTAAAACTCCCATCCTCTTGAGATACCCCAGAGAACAATTCCAAAATCCTTGCGTGAATCTAGACCAACATCTTGACGATGACCCGTTTCAACAGTTTTTGCGACATTTTTCCCTTTTCAAAATCCAACAGCAGTCTTTATTATGCTGTTCCCTTAAGAAGTGAAGTGTTACCACAATGAAAAAGTTTCGTGGAACAGAAGTGAAAAGTAATCGATAAACGTGAGGTGGACGTATAATTTTGGGACGTCGGCTGAGTGGCCTTTTACACAAAAATTATTGGGAAAAATTCCTGTGATCTCAAATAGAAAATTGATGTTCATAGGCAATTGCGTATTTATATGCGATACATTGTCACATCGGCGCGCCGACACCCGTAATGATATTTTCTACGGGGGGAAACATCCTGTATTTCGAGACTTTGGAAATTTCTTAGTTGCCTCTACATTATCGACGCAGTGATTTTCAAAACCAACTATGTACACAGCAGCCTGATCCTAGATATTAGATGATCTGGGGGCAAGATTTAACCAAGCGCAACCGAGGTGTATCCTCCTTACAACCCAAGTTCACACTGATTAAAATCCAGAACTAATATTTTTATAAGATTATTAAAGTTGCTCCTACATACCTGAGACGTCAAAAGCAAAACAATATCGCTTGCTTATTCGTGGGTGGAGCGTTGAAAAATGATTTGTAGAAGGCATCCTCCAGAGCTTGGCCAATCTGGAAGAAGTATACAGTGAATTAAAATAGAGGCGAGGAAATAGGAAGCAATCAGATTTAATTCAAACCCTCTCATCTGCCTCCCAAGTAAGCTTGCCTCTTTCTCCATGGCCTGCATCATAAACCTTTTTCGCCATCAAGACCTGTAAAAAGCATATCTGCCGTTCTCACCTATTTAAATTACAACTGTATAATGATGATACCTGGAATTAGGATGAATCTTTGCCCGTTTCAATTCCGCTTCATTGGTGAGCTTGGCAATCACTATGTCGCGGTATTTACTGGAAAAATAATTTGTTGTTAAGGTAACAAAAAACCCAAGAAAAACAAAATATCAAGTTGACCCATAATTAGCGAACCACTTTTATTTTTATTGCTGGGAACTTTCTAGAAAACGTGGTGGGGACGCGAAACATGTTTTGCGAGGTAGCACTCACAGTGGACAGCCTAACTATCAGCCAGCCTATTTACACGCGGCTCTCCGTAGCTATTCCTCTTCATTTCCTAGAACCTACCTCTAAAATTTCTTCATCACTATCGATTAGTATCCTTCAAATGTCATGCAAAATAGAGGATCAACCAGGATATAGGTAAGGGTCAGGCAATTCCTCAGTCCACGTTGCAGAGATGGCTCGCTCTACTTAGGATGTTTTTTTTTCATTCAACACAACCACCCCGTGACTGGCATTCCCGATGCTTTATCCGACGCCGATGAAATCTAGAAAGATAAGCCGTTGTTTGCCAAAGCGCTCCCGATTCGACAAGGTGGCAAGTTGAGAAAATTCCACAGATTCGCAAAGATTTGAAACTATGGAGTCTATATCTCACCTGCTCTGAAACCGAATCACTTGTAAACACAACCTGACATCTTCATGTTAATGATGGTTTCCAAAAGTTCCTTCAATTGACCATCTAGCATATTCACCAGTAACGTGGGTTGTGGAGTGTTATAACGAATTCACAAGCAGCAGAAGCCTAGTAAGCCGATTAGCGAGTTCTGACAGTTAAATTTTCCAAATTCGACTCTTCTGAGTTATTGGCGGAATACGAGAAAAACTTCGCTCAGAGAAGCCACACAATAGTAGCTGGACCAGTGGTTGTCGGCCCACGACTGCAGTGAACGTTCCTTGGATAATGTAGACAAACGTGAACAGCTTGACAGCGACGCCTTTGAATCGAAAGCGGAGCAAGACAAAGTCTGCTTTTTATGAGGTGGGCCGACCCTACCTTGCAGAGAAGATTCAGAAAAATGGAAACTCTCGAGCCGACAAGATTTTGGCTCTGCCTTGCAGCGCAAACCCCGTGCCAACAACGAACACCCCTACTCTCAAGCGCCTTCACTCGAAAATTTTAAAACTTTAAGCGAAATGACGTGATCTCAATGCTGACATCCGATATCTTCACTATATTCAATAAGAAATTACGGAATCCAAGAAGAACAATAACTAGTTTCATGCTTTGACAACGTTTTGTAGATAATGGTGGTGTTTATTTGGATGAGCAAGCACTTGAGAATAATAAAAAAAACTAAGATTGAAAAATAGCCAAAGAGGTTCACTGACTGTGGGATAATCCTGATAGAAAGAGAGACTAACCCTGTCAAAGCATTGATTGATTGCATTTTGCCAAGATTCCTAATCATCGCTGTCATTGGCATTTTTTCCAGAAGAGCCTGCCACACTGCAACCGAGTTTAGCATCTCTGTTGGTAAATGCTCCCGTACCAGCCCTAGAAAAACACACGTGAAAAATTTTAGTTTACAAGTTGACCAGATTTCATATCTTATAACTATCAAACACTAAGCTCTCGTCGTAGAATGAGAAACATTCGCAATGCACGTTAAAAAAAAAGTTGCAGTAACGCAGAGACTCGATTTTTTGTATGCCCAACGGTCACACCATCTGCACAGCACAGGAAGAAATGATCTACACGCAGGGAAAATCGTTCCTAATACAAGCGCATAGATCATCCATCATCATCACTGCAAGGGATTGTACTTCTACTCTGTTCAGTGCTCGAGCATATTGGTCATTCATATCGTAAAGTCTTCTGCACTTCATTGTTTGTATCACACAACTTCACTACGAAGGCTTAAAACAGGAGTTTCATATCTTACCATGTCTCTTTATAGCCTCAACGACTTTCGCTTCATCCTTCTCGTTTTTCAAAGCAAGAACCGTTTCTACGAGATCGAGCGCCCTACAACAGGATAAACAATTACGAAATATCCATAGATCCCGATACTAAATTTCACTGCATTACTCGATACGATGAGAGTGGTCAAAATATCGGACCTGCTCCCAAGCTCAACATCCATTTGAAGAGCGCTGTATTTACTTGCCGGTTGTTCGAGCTCCGCGTCCTCCTTCGATAGGTTTCGTTTACGAGTTTTCAGATCTCCTGAGTAACAAAAAAAATAATGTTTCATGTGAATAGCACAAGCTGAGGAGATCAAAGAAAATACCTTTCACGGCGAAGTGGTACAACTGTTCGTACTCCAAAAGATTCTCGGGTAGGGCTTCTTTCTTTAATTTTGGATGAGCAAGACGGAAAAGATCACGATGTGACCAGCCGCCTCTCTGCGGATATTTCGTGAGGTGCATGGCTAGTTGTTCAGGGCTTTTGTTTGCATACCTGAGATGCTATCATTTATGATCTACCTACAGTCTGAAGGCGTAATTCGTAAAAAAAAACCTCACCACTGCTGGATAGTACTCCTCATGAGTCGACCCCAACCAGTTGATTTTTTTCCTTCCTCGCTTAGAGTAGATTGGGAAATCATCTCGCAATACTTGACGAAAGTGAACAAATGCGTTGGAATGCGACATACCTGGAAAGAAATAGCAAGGATAAGCCGAGCACATCGACAAACAGACGTAACGCATATGTATATAAATAAGAATGGGCACAAGGAAGGAGCTTGCAGGATGGTCGGTACTACGTTTTGAGCACGTTACTTACAAAATACAAGATCTCGGTAAATGCTTCCGTATAGAAGTGTGGCTGCTCTAAAGTTACTGGACCAACTGTTCTGCACTACGAATTGAGAAACAAAAAGTCCACTTTGAAACAATCTATCTAATAACCAACATTACTTCCCACCAAATAGAAACATCAAACTGTAGCGGTGAGTGCAGTCATACCTCAGTTCACCGGCCCTAAGTGAATCCCCCACAAAGTGGCCAACCAACATAACGCAATGCAGCTCACGGGCGATCATTATTCAGCTATTGCAAGATAAACATTCACAGAAACTGCGTTTTATGTGTTTTATGTGAAAAAATCAAGAACTCACATCATTTACTATGCTGAAGGCAGACTTGTGGAGCTCGCTCAGATATTTACGCCTCAGCACACTTGCGTCACCTTCCCCAGATTGAGGTGCTTTTGCAGTCGAACCACGAACATCGTACCTGCAATCATCTAAATTTAGGCGTACTTCCTAATAGATAACTTACTAAAAATTACGGAAATTCAATGTGGGCGCAAATTTCACCAAGGAAAAATTGGCAAGCCTCGCGCGGTCGACATCTATTTTTTTCATATGCGCTGCTTGAGTGAATTAAATAGTGAAATCAGTGGACTGAACTCAGGCGGGTTGCGAGACACATCAACAAATGAGCCAAGCACGCTAGTGGATCACAAGAAGGATTGTCCGTTTCAGGATCGACATTCTTCCATATGGCTACTTGGTGAGTTTATATTGAGTAATGAATATATTACATGCCTTGCACATAAAGCGAGAGCCATCAGAAGCGGATCTTGTTTGGGATTACGACCAGCAAGAGACACTTCATAGATCTCCTTCAAAATCATGCTTCCACGACCTAAACAAAAACACCACTTTTACTTTTTGAAAGTGCGCCATTTTCAAATACCAATAAAGTATCACCTACTACACAATACCTCTGCTATATCCAGAAAGACAAGTTAAAATGTGATGACAAAATTTGAGCCAACTGCATGCATACCTTTCTCAATTATTTTGATCAAAGCTTCAACATTTTTGACGGTGAGCTCCTGTTCCGAGCTGTAATAGGTTCCTCCAGCCGTCCCGAGAATGATGAATCTGCGCACTCTTGACTCGTCACTCACCGCAAAAACGAATCCACCAGTGCTGTTCACAACCTAAAACAATTCTTATGTAGTGCCCATGAATAACCATCCGACCTGAATCCGATGTCACCTCTCATAACAATATTTATTATCCGGATTACATGTGAGTATGGATGCATGTGATACTATTTGGAGATTGACAGCTAATGAACCAGAGCCCAGCCTCACCTCCGTAATTACAACTTACTATCACTGCACCTTGGCAGGCATTTAAAGTGAGAAAAAAGTGTTCTATGCGGAAGCAGTCTTCTATACGAAATCGAATTAGTTTTGCGCGCTAACCAATATTAGGCTCATCTCAAAGCAGAATCAGAAAAACGTAAAAAAAAAACCAAATGCCAAGAATAAAAGAGCCGTAGCACGGCTCCGCAGCTGCTTCCCTGTTTCGCGAAGCCTAACAATGATAGAAGTGGTCAATATGCGCTTTGCAGCAGAAAATTTGAGATAACCAACATTACCTTGACACCTTGATTATAGAAAATATGTTTGCTGGAAAGCATTAAAGTATTCGTGAGAGACAACACCATCAGCTTTTACCTGGTCATCCCGTTCCTTCATCATCTGACCGGGAAGGCGCTCTTCCATGCAGAGGCGTCGGAAGTCGTCCTCACATCTAAAAGGAAACTTGTAACGAATGATCAACTGAACACGAAGGTTACTGTGGCTTTACATACAAGTTGAAATGACAGGTGGGACCAACTCAGGTGACAGAAATTAATTATGAACTCTTGTATTAAAGCTTATTTATAAAAGAGCACCGACAACATTTGAACGGAAAGCGATACCCAAATGAAAATATTACTCATGCTTCCCAAAGCCAGCTGCTTAGCCTTAGATTGAACCCTATGAGAGTAAAAATTTTCTGGGATTCATTCGAAGAGACGTAAATTTCCTTGGACATAAGCCTAGATATCGTATAACTTCGTAACGCTCAACTTTGAATGCCGCTTCAACAGTAGAAACTTCAGGCACGTATTAAATTTATAGACAGCAGAACCGTTCATACTATTAAAAATCCTCCCTTCGAGTCCATCACATGATATGTTCTTTGCGAAGTTGTTAACTGATCATCCGCCATCTGACCGTAAGTCTAACCTTCAAAAGGTATAAGGGACGACTCTTTTATACGACAGCAACACATGCTATCTAAATCTGCGGATTGGAGCGCAGAAGCGCAGAAGATACAGGAACAGGCATCAATGTACGAGGGAGGATGGGGAGGGGAGGGAGGCATCGGGCGCAGAGCCGGTCAAGGCGCCTAAAACCACAACAAATACATATTTCCATTTCAATATACGCTTTGCCCCCTTTTTGCATGAACAAAATGGTTCACACACCCTGGAGCCTCCTTCCCTTACAACAAATTGAATTGCTGATCTGGGTAGAATTACTGTGAAGTGATACTCCTTCGTTTGTAACCAGCGCCCAGCAACAGTTGACTACAGTCCAGCACACGTACTCCGTACTTCTACTTCGACAGCTTCTCTTGAGAACAGTAAAAACAAAGATAAAATAATCGGCATGGAATGGGAATTCTTTGCAGGTGGCAATCAAGTGCTTTTCTTTTGTTCTCTCTTCAATTCGGGCACGATTGTGAGTCAATTATGGCTTTATGCATACGTCGAGGCCTTTAGCGCAAAACTTAGAAATCACTTAGGCTGGTGTCAGAGTCCGCGATCCGTCGCAGGTTTCGCGATTTCGCGATTTTGCGCGAAACCTGCGATGGATCACAGGAGTTGGAAGTGCCCGATGAATACTGCGAGGTGTTGTTTAATCCTGCTGCGAATTCTGCTTGGCAGTAAAGATTGGAAGACGAATGTTTGTGGTTCTACTTGTTTCATGTTCAATGTCTATTCAGTTCATTGAAATGCTCTTGATTCGTTCCTATTTTATCCTTTCAAGCAGAAGTGGCGGCGGTATTGGAGAACACCTTGCAGTATTATGGGGTGCGTGACTATTCAATCGTGGCGATGGCTAGGTCGCCGCGCCAGCCGCCGCAGCCCGCGATGCGACGTCGGCCGTGGCTAGAATTCAGGGTTCTAGCATTGGGGAATGTAGGATTAGATGAAGTTTCCCAGTCGTGAAACACGGTATATGATCACCTGCCCCTTAAAATACAGGATCCTTGTCCTTTGCCATTATTTACAAACTTATTCTGTCATACTGATGTTATGCCTTCCTCACCGTTCCACTGCGTCTTGGAACGTAATATTTTCCGATTTAGCCAGATTATCGCTCTCTGATAACAATTCAGGCAGTTGATTAATAAAGAAGTCTCATTATGTTCAAAAGGACAACCTTTACATGGCACAAGCTCTGTACAGTGAGGCTTAAACAACT